GGAAAGAGAGGGACAGGAAGGGCAGCAGACCGGAAACTAGGGACAGGACAGAGAAGGAGCGCCCTCTGGCTGCAGAGGGCGTGACACCTGAGGGCATAGGTTTCTATACGGCATTCCTGAACTCTTTGCAGTACGAGCCCGGGCCTTTTTCCCGTCTCGCCGCTACGCATATGGGTCTTTTTACGCTCTCTTGCTCCCCACGGTTAGTCTCTTTGGACGTCCGTGACAAATTTAGCCAGTAATGAGCTGATTGATCTTGTTGAGAGCTGAGTTGGAATGAAAACCTACAGACACACAAGCTCTCCAGGTCCACAATTACTCACCCTTGGTTGGGTTTACTGATACAGCCAAGGGAACATGTTAGAAATTAAAAGGAAAGCATGATGAACAGCTCCCCATAGAAACCCTGATATTAACCTATTTCACTTCATTTTCCAGCCCACCTGCCATTGGCCCCAGCAATGTCTACTTTGTTTTTGTCTTTCTCTTCCCCTATTTCTTTCCACACTCCTGCAGGAACCAGCCTGATTACTGATGCTTGCCTCCAGCCACAGCAGCATGTCTGGGTCTGTCCTTAAACAGCTCTTGCCCCATGCAGTCCCTGCACTACTGTCCCTGCTCCTCTAGTGCCATACTACCTTTTCTACTCCCAGCCCCAGCTCACGTGTCTAGTGTCTGCAGAGGAAATGGCTTATATTCCCTTGGCTTCACAAAATAACTCCAAACTCCCCTCTGGGATTCTGTACAGTTCCTGCATTACAGTTCCTGGCCAGCAGCCATATCACCCTGCAACTCACAACTAGCACCCTACTGAAGCTAAGCAGGTGTGAGTCTGGCCAGTACCTTGATGGGAGACCTCCTGGGAAAAACAAAGCCCCAGTATAGTGACAGGGACAATATACTGTAAAAAGGCACCATCCTTTGGATGAGATGGAAAACTGAAGTCCTGACTCTCTGTGGTCATTATAAATCCCAGGGTGTTTCTTGAAAAGAGCAGGGGTGTTGCCCCAGCATCCTGGCCAAATGTCCCTCTGGCCTTTACCAATCATGGCCTCCTAATAATCCCCATCTATGAATTGGCTTCGTCACTATGCTCTCCTCCCCACTGATAGCTGGTGAGCGTTCTGGTGCACTATAGCTGCCGTAACACCATCCAGGTGGGGCTGCACATTGGTGGTGGAGGGGAGTCCCCATTACCTGTAGAGCGCTTTGAGTGGAGTGTCCAGAAAAGCACTATACAAGTGTATTTTTAATTATTATTTTGTAGTGCAGGGTTTGGGAGACCTCTTCCTGAAGCAAAGCTCTGGATGCGATGCAGGCCTAACACTGTCTCCTCCTCATTCAGACGTAACAGTACTGTATATTCCAGCAACACTTTCACCACCCTCATGCACAACAGTATTCACTACACCTCAAACTCTTTACTCTCACGGGTTAACTTCGAAATGTTACTGAGGCTTCCACTGGACCTTTCATGTACAGTTTTCTTTATTCTATCAGCTAACCATATCCTTATATTATTTATACATTATATAATAAAAATAATAACACACTGGGATTTTTAATGACCACAGAGAGTCAGGACATCAGTTTTACATCTCATCCAAAGGATGGTGCCTGTTTACAGTATAGTGTCCCCGTCAGGTACTGGTCTCCCATCCAGGTACTGACCAAGCTAACACCTGCTGAGCTTGGGTGGGTTGCCAGTTGTGAGTTGCAGAGTGATATGGCTGCTGGCTGATATAGCTGCTGGCTATATATTCTACTTTAATATCTGTAACTTATGAAATATACATCAGCATTATGAGGTCCCCCTCACTTCTTTGTGGGAAAACAATGGCCTCAGCCACATGGCCAGGCTGTCATTCTCAAAGCCAGGTGACTAAATCCAATAAAACATTCTAATTCAACTCACACTTCTGCTCTGTCTTAATTAGAATTTAGCCATTTACACTGAACACATAAAAAATGCAAAACAAATTACTGGGGAACATATGTTTAAGACACACTAAAAAAATGTAGGAGTTTAGCCCAAATATTGGGTGGTTCCTAGAGTAAAGCATACGTTTTGTTTTGCAAATGCAGAAATGGCAAGAATTGTAAAAGGCGCAATGCCATTTCAGTTGTTTGCGAAGGGTAACATTTTCAAGTTCAGTATAATAACAACTCAAATCATACATTTTGTCTCTGTAAGTAGACAAAAAAGACACTTGCACACTACTGAACATGTGAGTCAGAATGCCTAGAATATGCACATACAGCATATACAAATGAGAAACATCTGCAGTAAAATGGCAACATAGTCCCCTGTTGCATTTCTTTAAAAAAATAACTCTGGAAATCAGTACTTTAAGCAGATTTCTGGCAGTGCTGCACACTGGCTAGGGTTCTATAGAATCATGGTTTCAAATCCCTGGTGCAATACTGCTGTTGCACCCTTGAGCAAAGTACTTTGCCTGAATTAATTCATTAAAACACCCTGCTGCATAAATAGGTGAAAATGTGATCTGCTTAGGATAAAAGTATCAGCCAAACAAATCAGTAAACCCTTCATACTGCATTATATTTCAGCAATATTGGGCAGATGTCTGGTATTGTGTATGATGGCTGTGAATAAATATATTAGCATTCGCAACCCTCGCTTGTACTATATGAAAATCATGTACATTAACAGACTTGACAAATTAAGTTTTATTAATTGACATACCTCTATTCCATTTTCACGACTTTCTATATAATCAAATTCACACACCATAAAAGCTACTATGTAAGTTGACATTCTTGGTGTTCTTTTAAATGTTGTAACATTCCACAAGGTCCCATTGTTATCCTCTATTTCAGAAACACCTGAAAAAAATAGCATTTGTTTAACAAACAACAAATACATAACAGCAAAGTTCGAATATTTAAGAACACTAACCTATCCAACTCATCTACTCTTTGGAATCTATGTAAAATCTATCATTGTAGTACAAAACTATGAAATTGTCAGAAAAGCATAGCAAACATTAAACAGTCTTTATAGAGTTCTATTACATTTGAGGTTATTTGATTTTAGACCATAATAATAGGTCAAAATCTAAAATATCTGGGCTTAATCCTAATTAATTATGCAATGTAAGTAACCAGACAGTTTAGCATCTCACAGATTATCAAAGTTCTAATGAAACAGGACATTTTTTATGCTAGAAAAGTCCAAATAAACTAGGCCCAAGTGCCAGACTGATACAGTAATTACACATAATGTGAAGACATCTGTTAAGTAGATAAACACTTCTCTGTTGATCTTTGTGCTGCTCCTAGGATGTGAGCAGTAACTGTGCTGTTAAAAAGTGTCCCTTCGATAAATGAATTCAACATCGTACAGAATGCTGGTAATCTATATCAAACTGTCAACAAGAGTGGATGTACAGTTCTTGCCATAAGTGGCAGGTTATGTGACATACTCTCATTAAAGAAAATGATAAGAATTGAAACACATTTTAACATGCCAGATAGCACTTACTTAATTTACTAAAGCATTTTAACTTACTTAATAGCAATGTACAAACAGTTTTACAAATGGCAATCTGTGTTAATTGCGAGGTTCACTGCCCTTTCGTTTTTCCCAGTCTATTTGTTGTTCCAGCGACACTGATGAGTGAAAGGCAAACCATAACCCCTCTGAATCTGACCACCTGACAGCATGAGATTGTACAGATTCACTTCTTTGCACACTGTCTCCATGTTCAGCATATGCTACCGCTGAGTAAACAATCTTTGAGTATGTACATTTAAATGCAGAGTTTCAATCATTCATTCATGTGTACAATATCTGCATGGTCATCAATCACATTTAGCAGAAACAAATGACAACAGCCTTCCTTGTGATGAGAGTGGTTGTTTTTCCTCAGTCGGTCACTGCTACTGAAATAACACATACTGTAGACTGCACATAAATGTAGAGGCAGGAAACCTAATTTTGCAATTAAAAGATCTCCAGCTGGGTCTTCTCCATTTGATTCCTTACCGGTGAAAACGTGTTTAAAGAGGGGACTATTTTAAATGACCCTCTGTGATGCTTGTGCCTTAAAAGCTGCCACTGTTTGCAACACTTGTACTTCAGCCAAGGTCATAAAAATCAGCTAAAAGTAATGTGTGAGCCTTGTTAGTGACTTTACTGAAATGTTCCCTTTAACCTGAACAGGCCTCAAGTGTTACATTTTTACTACAGGACTTCAGCAGCGATTTTTTCCAATAGATAGAGTTTTGACTGATTACACAAAAGTTCCTTGTTATTCATTCCTTATCCCCAGCATATATAATATTTAAAAAAAAAAAACATCCTCCAGAGCAATGAAAAGAAGGATGTTTCACAGTGACAGCATGAATTGCTTAGTCTGTCTGGATGCAGAACATTCACTGAGCAAAATAATTAATAAAGCATTTGTACAGTAAATTTTGAGACCACTTTTGAAATTCTTATAAGATTCTAATAGTTGTCTACTTTTATTGATCTATCGTATATACAGAATGTAAACTTTCCCAATTTTAATGAATGGTGTCTATTTTTAGTTTTTTTTTTCTTCAGTGCTTCATGTTTGCCATTACAATACAAAATATTTATACTTACCAACAGCTGCCATGTTTGAAAGCACAACATACTTAAAAAGGTGGACAATCCGTATATCAAATGTGGCTTTCATTGCGGGTTCATCAAAGCAAGGAAACACAGATCTTGCATGGGTTGGCTCCAGTTGGGAAACAGCCAAAGTCCTGGTGGTTACATTTTCAATTAACAAAACAAGCTTTGTACAGTAGGTTTCATGGTCACAGCACAGTGATTTCAAGCTTCTGTATAGACTGTTTGATCTGCATGCACACAGCCATTATAATTTTCTCCATGCTTGTTTTAATATTAGACCTTTTTCATGTGCATATACCTCTTGGGAATAGTTATTATTAAACATACAGTACCAGCCTGCTGAAGTTCAAGATACTGTATACATGCGTTACTACAATTGAAAGATGTCTGCAGATGAGTAATGAACAAAATTTACAGAATACAGTAAATAGCCTTAAATTAAACTTTGATACCCACTTGTCTCTTAAGAACGTATGTAAATGAGAGGAGGCCATTGATTCCATTTACCTCTTTTAGCTTGTAGTAGCTAAGTTAGGTCATGAAAGAATAAGGGTAATTAGTGGGCAATTAGTTCCAGACCCACTCTACCCTCTCTCTCTTTCCTAGCGTTAATCCCGCATCAGCAGGGTCCCCTTGTCGGCACACCAGTCTCCATTTGGTGGTTCGAACCAAATCTTTACGCTGACGTTGCCATTAATTGCAACCGAGAAATACTCCAACCAGCACGTCGCTCTGCCTGCCGTCGGAGTGGGAAGGGGGGGGAGGAGAACAAAGTAATGTAGCCAATTCATAGAGGGGGATTATTGGGATGGGAAATTTGGCCAGGACACCAGGGTTACACCCCTACCCCCACTCTTTTCGAGAAACACCCTGGGATTTTTAATGACCACAGAGAGTCAGGACCTCGGTTTTACGTCTCATCCGAAGGACGGCACCTGTTTACAATATAGTGTCCC